GAAAATCTTCACATTTCACCAATGCAGGAAGTGAAGATTTTGTAAAGATCAAAGATCAGCTGATGGTAATTTTCTGTAATGAGGCCGTGTCTGGCACTTCAGCCGCCATTTGCATTGAATGTGCGTGATTTAAACATGCTTTTGAAAGTATCCTGCAGACAGATGCTCATTAGTCTCGAAGAGCCAAGCTTTGACTATCAGCATAACGTCTGGTGCATTTTGCAGCTTCAGTGTGGCCAAGAAGTGCCCACTTAAGAATCTGACTTGCATGTAAAACGACCTATCACAGTTTGGTTTAATTTATTCATTTTTAATATGACACTTAGGAGCAGGTAAACTTGAAATTGATAATACCACAATAATAGACAGTTATGCAACCTGTACATAAAAAGCATGGTAGTTACTGCAAGTTACTTTATGGACATTTTATTTATTTATTTAAGCTTTATTTAATCAGACAAGTCACTTGAACAAGTCCTTATTTTCAAAGGGAAAAAAAATGATAAATTATAGTCATAAGTAGCATGGGTATATTTGTAGCAATAGCCTACAATACATTGTATGGGTCAAAATGATCAATTTTTCTTTTATGTCAAAAATCATTAGGATATTAAGTAAAGATCATGTTCCATGAAGATATTTTGTAAATTTCCTACTGTAAATATATCAAAACGTAATTTTTGATTAGTAATATGCATTGCTAAGAACTTCATTTGGACAACTTTAAAGGCGATTTTCTCAATATTTAGATTTTTTTGCACCCTCATATTCCAAATTTTCAAATAGTTGTATATCGGCCAAATATTGTCCTATCCTACCAAACCATACATCAATGGAAAGCTTATTTATTCAGCTTTGAGATGGTGTATAAATCTCAATTTCAAAGAATTGACCGTTATGACTGGTTTTGTGGTCCAGGGTCACATATATACATGTACATATTTTCAAAATATATACTGTATGTGTATACAGTACACACACATATAGTATGTAAACAAAAAACTTTTATTTTGGATGCGATTAATAGTTTGACAAGACACTAATTTGAAGCTATATCGTTAAATGGGTTTGAAACAACATTAGGGTGTCTTTTTAATTTTTGGGTGAAATATTCTTTTAAATGCATTTGTCTTTCTGTTTGAGGAAAAGTGTATGTATCTTGGATCTCTGTGTAGATGCATACATTACTGAAGCCTTAACTCACTTCTGTCCTTTTTTTTTTTTGCTGTATCGCGGTAAAATCATCACATCACAAATGTGAGCTCGCACTATTCAAAAAGCACACTTGATGTCCTGTAGCTCAGGTCTTGTCTATTTTCTGGCTACACGCATGTTTATCCATGTTTCATACATGTTCAACAATGTGGGTTGCAATAAAAGACTCTTTATTACAGTCAAATTGTAAGGCGTTGCGAGTTATGCGTTTTATTATGCCATGTTGTTTTTTAAAAGGCTTCACAATGTCCTGAAGGTGACAGAAAATGTTTGATAAGACAGTTGAACGTGAAAGTGTCATTTTGTCTGTTCTGTGAAAGCTAATAGTGATAATATTAACATACACCGGCTCTCCAGAATACTAAATCTATTTTTATTGTGTTTTTTATATTTGGAGGTAGGCAGTCTTCATCTACAATCACTTTAGTTAGAGCAGCGTGAACATCCTTATAGTTATCCTTTTGTTTTCCATCAAAGAAAAAAAAAAGTAATATGCATTGGAACGACATTATGTTCCATATGTATTATTATCATCATCTATATTTCCAGTAAGGCCACAAGGGGGCATGTCTAACTAAATGGTAATACAGCACGTCTTCTTATACTTGATCAAAACAATTGTGTTATGAATGTTATTCTGTCCATTTCTTTATGATTTATACATAAATTCTGCGCATCCACTAAGCCTCATAACTTGTAATTTGAGCAATGTAAAGCATTTTGCCTGCGGAGCTTTCATTTTAACCCATCTGCTTATCTCTAATAAGATTAAAAACAAGATTTGTAACATTATAAATGTCTTTACTGGCCGTTTTAATCAATTTAATGCATCCTTGCTGAATACAAGTGTTAAATAAGTAAATTCAGCATCAGGGTTTTGTTGTTATTTTGATATAACTTGGGCCCAGTTTCACAGACGGGGCTTAGCTTAGTTTTGATAAAAATACCTTAGAAAACATTTTGTTTTACATGTGTGCATCTTGGGACAAAACAATGGCACTGACATATTTTAAGATATGTCAGAGCAAGATAATTTTATTTGAGACAGCTCAAACTTGCATTATTGTCTGGGACTAGCCTTGAGCCTTGTCTATGAAAACAGGGGTTTATGTACTAAAATAACAAAAAAAAAAAATTTTTTTAAGCTAAGGATTTATCGAGTATTACCAATTTTCCCCATCTATCTCTCTGGTACTTGGACCTAAAGTAAAGTTGAATAAAAATTAATTAATAATAAAAATGAAATGATAATATTAAATAATACAATTAATTATACACCGGCTCTCCAGAATACTAAATCTATTTTTATTGTGTTTTTTATATTTGGAGGTAGGCAGTCTTCATCTACAATCACTTTAGTTAGAGCAGCGTGAACATCCTTATAGTTATCCTTTTGTTTTCCATCAAAGAAAAAAAAAAGTAATATGCATTGGAACGACATTATGTTCCATATGTATTATTATCATCATCTATATTTCCAGTAAGGCCACAAGGGGGCATGTCTAACTAAATGGTAATACAGCACGTCTTCTTATACTTGATCAAAACAATTGTGTTATGAATGTTATTCTGTCCATTTCTTTATGATTTATACATAAATTCTGCGCATCCACTAAGCCTCATAACTTGTAATTTGAGCAATGTAAAGCATTTTGCCTGCGGAGCTTTCATTTTAACCCATCTGCTTATCTCTAATAAGATTAAAAACAAGATTTGTAACATTATAAATGTCTTTACTGGCCGTTTTAATCAATTTAATGCATCCTTGCTGAATACAAGTGTTAAATAAGTAAATTCAGCATCAGGGTTTTGTTGTTATTTTGATATAACTTGGGCCCAGTTTCACAGACGGGGCTTAGCTTAGTTTTGATAAAAATACCTTAGAAAACATTTTGTTTTACATGTGTGCATCTTGGGACAAAACAATGGCACTGACATATTTTAAGATATGTCAGAGCAAGATAATTTTATTTGAGACAGCTCAAACTTGCATTATTGTCTGGGACTAGCCTTGAGCCTTGTCTATGAAAACAGGGGTTTATGTACTAAAATAACAAAAAAAAAAAATTTTTTTAAGCTAAGGATTTATCGAGTATTACCAATTTTCCCCATCTATCTCTCTGGTACTTGGACCTAAAGTAAAGTTGAATAAAAATTAATTAATAATAAAAATGAAATGATAATATTAAATAATACAATTAATTATTAATAATTAATTATGTAAAAAATATATATACTCTCATGAAAAATGGGGGCAAAAACAAAAGTGTTGCATTTATAATTTTGTTCAGTGTACAAATATAATAAAAACAAAAATTATTTTTTTAAACTAATAAAAATGACAAAAACTCAACAAAATTACTAAAACTTTAACTGAAATAAATAAATAATGATAAAAATATTCAAAATATCAATAAAACCTATAATAGTTTCTCAATGATACTAAAATAACACTTGCCACAAAACATCTACAAGTCCGTAAGAGTCTTTGAGCTAATCTGTGAACTTTGAGTCTTAAACCAAGGAACATAAACCAGAACCAGAACTAAACATAGTCAAGATAACAATCTACTTTTCCAATGGCAAACATGTGTGGTTTTACTGATGCATGACCCCCCCCCCCACCCCAGAGTCTTTGAGCTAATCTGTGAACTTTGAGTCTTAAACCAAGGAACATAAACCAGAACCAGAACTAAACATAGTCAAGATAACAATCTACTTTTCCAATGGCAAACATGTGTGGTTTTACTGATACATGACCCCCCCCCCCACTACTTTTTACCCTCTTTTTTTGCAGTCCAGTCCTTTCCAAAAAATAAGATAAAAATAAGACCAATTAATGAAAACACTCAAACTCTGAAAGAAACACCTCAACACCAGGCAGGTTTACTGGGTTCACAAGCATCTCAAACTATTACGGAATTACTACATTACGGTAAATGCCTCATACAAAGTTACTGTATCATAGGGCTTCAGTCAGAAGACTTGAAAAATAATGCACATATATGGATCGCTTTAAATATATTGACTGTATGCTTTCAGTGTATGGAAAAGAGCAGTGTGAACATTTCTGAAAACCATCAGTGTTTCCCTGAAGAAAGCCATGCAGGTTTGGAGCGAGATGAGGGTGAGTAAATAGTTACTTACTTTCTTTGCTTATCACTCCTTCCCGCAAAATGTCAATGTTTATTGCTTGTAGTGAAAGTTAAATTATGTCTTGGGCCGTTTAGTTTTCTCTGGCAAATCTCATTGTACTTAAAACCTTTTGAAAGCTTCAAACTGGGCCGTTGGACCGAGAGTAGAGCTGTTTCTCAGTGATTATGCAAAGATTTTACAGTTGAAGTGCATTGTCATTTTAAAACAGCACCCGACCGTCCTTTGAACATGTGCTGCCTTCAGGAAGCTTGTGGCTCTTTTGATCTTCTGAGAGAAAAGGCACTGGACAGCCACATGTGCTCAACATTAGGCCCACTAGTGTCCATTTCTCTTTCTAGCAAACACGTCATTGACAAACACTGAGAAATACTCTTTAGTTTCCTGATTGTTATTGTTCCTTGCATTCTTCTTAAGGTCATATTACTGGTCACATGTTAACTTGACAATCGATTTTGATGACTAACCAGCGAATTCTGAAGATTTTTGCCTTTTCAGTACTCATTTAAACTAAAATATGAGATCGTTCCACCCCGAAGTGGGAGTTTGGTGTCTTTTCTGCTCACCAAGGCTGCATTTATTTGATAAGCCATACCATAAAAACAGTAATATTGTGAAATATTATTACCATTTTAAATAACTGTTTTCATTATATTTTAAATGTAATTTATTCCTGTGATGCAAATTTGAATTTTCAGCATCATTACTCCAGTATTCCTTCAGAAATCATTCTTATATGCTGATTTGCTGCTCAAGTCAAATCAATTACCAGATCAAATCAAATCTTACAAACAATAGGTAGGTGTGACTAACTCTTAACTTTTATAAAGAATATCTCTTTGGATTTGAGACTTTAGTCTTTGCAACTTTACAGATCTTCTTTATGCACCAAGAGCTTGTAACACTCTAAAGAGAAAGGAAAAAATGAAATCGCATCATATGACCCCTTTAATGTTTCTTTGATGAACAGAAAGTAAAAAAAACAGCATTTATTTGAAATAGAAATGTTTTGTAATGTTATAAATGTCTTTGCTGTCACTTTTGATCACTTTAATGCATCCTTGCTGAAAAGGTTTTCATTTCTTTAAAAAAAATGGTACTGACACTAAACGTTTGAATGGTAGTGTATATGCTAATTAACTTAAAGGCACAGTTCACCAAAAAAAACAAAAAACAATTGGTTTATATTTAAATAGGTTTAAATTATAACTGAACTGTCCCTTTAAGAATGAATTCAAATTCAAATTTGTAATGTCCTGGATCAAAACAACATCAAAGATCAAAGAGATGAATAATGCCAGTGTCGGATCACTTTGTTTTCATTCTGATTAATTGATTGTAAATCTGCAGATCATTCTATGTAAGATCAAAGAAACCAAAAGACAAAAAAAAAAGTTAATTTCTGACTTTAATTAAGAAACATTCAACATGTGTGTGCAAGACAGAAGTTGAATGCAATAATGTGTGAAACAGCCGTTGATTTCAGTATTAGATACCAAACCTGATATAAACTCAGCGACAGATACAAAGAGCAACATATCATATTCAAATGCAAAATTACAAAAAATGCAACGTTCAGACTTTGTTGTTCTTATTATAAAACATCCAACAAACATAAACGAACAGTAATTAAAAATAGGCACTTCTCTCATGTAGTAGATGCTAAGTGCTGTTGTTCATTTCAGTCTGTTTGAACCCCGTTGATTGACAGCAGTGCATATTTACAAGCTGAATTTAACCATGTACTGAAGCAGAAGAAGGAAATAAAAAAAGAACAACTTACTGTTCTGTTCATCAGGTTGAATTGATTCTTGTGTCTTTAGACTTTCCTTCTTTAGCTCTTAAACACGATCCCATGTTCTCCTCCTTACTGATTGATCTAACCAATCATAAAGCTATCGTCGTAGTTAATTCCCAGCATTCGCACCTTTTTACAACTCAACCTATATTGTTAAACACATTTAAAAGAAACAACCTTGTATGTTTCACATTTGGCTATTACTGTAATTTTTGAATGAGATTTGTGAAATGGTTTGTCAAAGGTCAAGTGTGTAATTTTTGTGACGTAACGTAAAAAAAAACAGGTAGTCCCGCCCCCAAACTCACGCCACTGGTTGAGCTAGAAGTTGACTGACAGACGAACAGGGCAAAAGTGTCAAGGCTTAAATTTAAGGTAAAAAAAAAAAAAGTATCTTAAATGATATAACAAAAGTCTTAATTATCATTTTAAAATGTCTTAAATTTGTGGATGGAAAAAGAGGACATAAAATAGCCTAATGTGATTATTAAACTTTAAATGGATATGATTTAATTAAATAAATGTGAGTGCTTTAATTAGTAAAAGAATCTGGGGTTTGTTCTGTTTGGATACTCAGCATTCATTTCATTGTGCAGCTCTTAAAAATGTATTTAAAAGTTTAAAATTTGATTGATCCTGCACAGAAGTTTATTAAACAGTATCAAGAGAAAGTGAAAAATTACACACTTCACCTTTAACCACAAATGTATCAACTGTTTTTTTTTTTTAGTTATTGCCATAAAAATCATTATTTCACTTCCACATAAGCATGACTTTCCACTGTACTTTCCATATCTTACAGTTTTACGCTATCCCTGCTTCAAAATCGAGCCGCATCTGAGAACAACTCTATCATTCAGCTTTAGCAACAAGGAAAACATTCTTTCCTCTTCAAGTCTAAACATCAACACTCAATTTAGACAGCGACCAGCCTCTTCAGAACTCGTAGGGTGAAATCAGAAGGTGGACCCGCGCCAGATGTTTGGCTTGGAAGGTGCGGTCGGCGTATTCGGACATCTCCACCTCCACGCTGAGCTCCTGCAGGCCTTGCAGCGGCTGGACCAGGATCAGCTCTCCGGTCTGACGGTCTGAGCGCTGCATCACGAACATGCTGCGGGCGTCACCTCCGCCTGCGATGCCAAAGCGAAGGCTGTCCGGACCCGGCCGACCCGGAGCCGTCGCGGTGGCCATGCGGAACAGCGTGGCCGGGGTGCGCAGGTTGGACGGCAGAGACAGGTAGTGGTAAGAAATGGTCTTAGCGGCAAATGGACAGGAGCGGCTCTCCATGGGACAGGGATTCCTTTCACACTGGCTGCGGTAGAGGGCAAAAAAGTACTTTACATCATTAATTGTGCTTGAAACACTATAGATCTGTTCCAAAACCTACTTTAATAAGCAAGAACACCCACACAGTCCCAAGAACTTTACTTTAGTGGTTATCCCATTACACATTTTTAAGAATGAAAAAATTAAAAAACATTGTAAAAAACAAATGAAAAAACGATGAAAAAAACAAAATACTATTAAATAATGAAATATTGGTGATTTATATGTTGCTTGCAAAAGAATCTTTCAGAATCCATGGCTACTTTTGGAAGCTCATTTCCACTGCATAAGAAAAAAATTATTCTTTGTCATTTAATGTCATAATTATGAGAAAAAAATGTAAATTGACATACTACATCATAATTATATAAAGTCAAACTTATGACATACTAAGTCATAATTGAGATAAAATTTAAGTCAAAATGATGTTTTGACAATTTTGACTGATTACATAAATTTGAACTCCTAATGACTTAGTATGTCATAATTTTGACTTTTCATAATTCTGATTAATATCATGTCTTAGTGTGTCAATTCCAACTTTTATCTCATAATTATGACTTAGCATGTCATAATTCTGACTCATCTCATAATTCTGATTTAGTATGTTATAATTCTAACTTTTATCTCATAATTCTGACTTGGCATGTCATAATTCTGACTCATCTCATTATTATGACTTTGTATGTCATAATTCTAACTTTTATCTCATAATTCTGATTTAGCATGTCATAATTCTGACTCATCTCATAATTATGACTTAGTATCTAATAATTCTGACTCATCTCAAAATTATAACTTTGTATGTCATAATTCTAACTTTTATCTCATAATTCTGATTTAGCATGTCATAATTCTGACTCATCTCATAATTATGACTTAGTATCTAATAATTTTGACTTATCTCATAATTCTGACTTAGCATGTCATAATTCTGACTCATCTCATAATTTTGACTTTGTATGTCATAATTCTGACTCAACTCATAATTATAACTTAGTATGTCATAATTCTGACTTATCTCATAATTATGACTTTATATGTCATTATGAGATAAATCCAAATTAAACAATCTAAGTCATAATTGAGATGAAATTGAAAAGTCACAATTATGAGACTTAGTATGTCACAATTTTGACTTTTAATCTCATAATTTAGATTTCTGTCATACTTTTGACTTATTATCATGACTTGTTTGTCATAATTCTGACATTTATCTCATAATTATGACTTAGTATGTCAATTCTATTTTCATTTCATAATGATGATTTAGTATGTCAATTTTTACGTCATAATTTTGACTTATAATTGACTTAGTATGTCATAATTCCAACATTTATCTCATGATTATGACTTAGTATGTCATAATTCTGTCTATTCTGACTCATCTCAAAATTATAACTTTGTATGTCATAATTCTAACTTTTATCTCATAATTCTGATTTAGCATGTCATAATTCTGACTCATCTCATAATTATGACTTAGTATCTAATAATTTTGACTTATCTCATAATTCTGACTTAGCATGTCATAATTCTGACTCATCTCATAATTTTGACTTTGTATGTCATAATTCTGACTCAACTCATAATTATAACTTAGTATGTCATAATTCTGACTTATCTCATAATTATGACTTTATATGTCATTATGAGATAAATCCAAATTAAACAATCTAAGTCATAATTGAGATGAAATTGAAAAGTCACAATTATGAGACTTAGTATGTCACAATTTTGACTTTTAATCTCATAATTTAGATTTCTGTCATACTTTTGACTTATTATCATGACTTGCTTTGTCATAATTCTGACATTTATCTCATAATTATGACTTAGTATGTCAATTCTATTTTCATTTCATAATCATGATTTAGTATGTCAATTTTTACGTCATAATTTTGACTTATAATTGACTTAGTATGTCATAATTCCAACATTTATCTCATGATTATGACTTAGTATGTCATAATTCTGTCTCTTCATCTCATTATTATGACTTAGTATGTCGTATTTATGACTTGTTTCGAATAATTGCATAATTTTGTTCTAATAATTTTAATAATTTGGACTTTTTCTCTCATAATTACACATTTTTAATCTCACAATAATAATTGTGCAAAGCATTTGGTAAAGAATGTTTTTTGTCCCCCCTATGTGGCGGAAATAGGCTTCTGTATTTAAATGACTGTCAATGGAAAAAAATATTTTTGCTTCCAGGTAGTGTAGTTACCAGCATCTACCAGCAGAGACTAACTGGACCATGCTAACCAGCTAAACCTTGAAAAAATACTTCCAGTACTTGCTTAAAAGGTAGGCAGACGTTTAACAGTAATCAATCTCCTTACAGTTTATTTTCAGTATTCATATATTCAATATGAATAGCATCCTAACATGAACCATGCCACAGTTATGCTTTTATGTATTTCTGGTGCTTTTACCAAGCTGCATGTGTGCCTGTAAGGTTTAGTGACTTACAGATCACAGCTTCTTGCATTTAGCAGGACACAAAGGGCCCATTCACAGCTTAAAAACAGCTTGCATAATAAACGAGCATAAAAGTGTCATGCAAGAAAAACAAATGGTTGTAACCCACTTTAATTACACCGCAAGCAAGTGGCAAGTGATTTAGAGGAGGCATTCATGGCCCCCAGTGCTGTGAAGGACTCCAGGAGACAGACATGTGTGTTTGCTATAGAAACACAAGCTGAAAAACATGCTTTGCTCTGTCATTTTCTCACGTTTTCCAAATGTAGTCTAAATCATCACCTGCAAAGAAGTTTTAACAATGCTTTTAAAAACAAAATGAGAATTCTGTCACTATTTACTCACCTGTTATGCTATTAAAACTAAAATGGATAAAATCATCACATACTGTAGGTCTTTTGTATAGAGCAACAGTTCAAAGTGACAGGCAGGTTTGAGGTCATACATTTCAGTCTGTTCTTCACACAAAGTTATTGTATTATTTAGGACGTGGAATATAGCAAGTTGTATGGACTACTTTCCACAATAATAATAATAATAATTCAAATAAAAAATTTATACATATACATTTATTTATATACTAATTAATTTATATTAATAAATAATAATTATGTAATATTTAAATAATGATTTGTCATAGACCGATTTGTAATAATTTGTCATAATTGTATTTTATCTCATAATTTCAACTACATTTGTCATAACAGTATTTTTATCTCATAATTTCAACTAAATTTCAAGATAATTTTATTTCATAATTACAACTTAGTATATCACAATTCTAACTTTTATCCCATAATTATGACTTAGTATGTCCTTTTTCACATTTCACATTTTTTTCAGATTTCCATTCACTTTTCATGATCCAGTCAAGTCACACTCTACTTTTCTCTACGATTATCTTTTATCGCTCAGAAATAGTTGAAACTATCAATATGTATTAAATAGGTTTTATCTCTTGCGATTGGATTCTTAGAGTAGTGTTGCTAGTTTAGTAACCTGCTCTATTGGAATCAGTTGTGAAGTCTCCTGTGTGGTATTTACTCGTTAGTAAAGCAGGTTCCAGTGGAGTTGTATGCAGTAGGTCATCAGGTGTGCTGTATGCTCACTCACAAAGGTGATGTCTTGACGTAGCTGGTGTTGCCGTGCGAGTGCGGACACTCGGGGTTAACGCACTGGAAACCTCCTCCGGTGTTGATACAGGTGGTGCCACGGCTGCAGTTGTGCTGTTGTGTAAGACATTCATCCACATCTGGAGCGTCCGGAGGAGAGGGAGACATTAGAGTCAGAGAGGGGAGGAATAATAGAGTGAAAGAGAAGAAGAATAGAGGAAAATAGAGAGTTGGAAATGCTGGCTACATGAGGGCATTTGCGTACAGTTCTGTGATGGTAGATGTGATTTATGTGTTAGATCATCATTGTAACAGCATCACCTGTGTTGAAACACTTGATATACAAGATACTGTACTTTTCAATCACTTGACCATCTAAAACAGGGCTAGTCAACTGGTGGTCCGCGGGCCAAATCCAGCCCACCAATCATCTTCATCCGGCCGGAGAGAGAAGTACGCGAAGGTCGCATATTTGCCTTGAATTGTTTTTGCACTAATTAGTTTGTCCGCAAGGTGGCAACACTGGCCCGGGCCAGCCGAAAAAGAAAAGAAAAAGACGCAACAACAACAACAATCTACGGAGACCGCAACATAGACGGCAGTGTTGACAAGCGTTTATGAGGGAGTTATGAGATATCCACAACTCTAGTTTAACCGAGTACAAAGACAGTGTTATCGGTTAGGGTTGGGCCGATAGACGATGCCATCGTCCATCGCCGATGGCTGATAGACATCACGATGTTGAGCCGGCATCGTGATTCCCCCCCCATCCCCCCGCAATCCGCCGCATCCCAATACCGTGTTCGGAAAGAAAATGACGTGTAGGCGGAACCCCTAAAGGGAATAAATACGAGATGGGAGGAAAATATATATTTCAATATTTTTCCTCGCAGTTATATCATTGGGTAATTATACTACATATATATTTTGGGCATCAGGGAGCCGCTATTATACCTGGCATTGAAACTGGCATTGTGCTTTTGAATGCACGATCGCTTTTTAGTTTCACTTTCACTTTCAAGATTCGCGATCGCACGTACTCTGTTTATACTATGGAGCGGCAGTACTTACCACACATTTTACAAGATTATATGTATGTCAGTGGTACTGAGGATCTGCAAATCATTCGCCATCGTCCTCAGTCATCTCTCCTTACTCTGTTTATGTGGTAAGTAAAATTTTATGTATTGTAATGTAGCAGGCAACCATTACACCGTGTCTACACCGGACGCGACAGTTGTCGTGTTGCGCCGCGCCGCATCAGCTACAGTTTGTCTACACTGGACACGACAAAGCGACCGTTGAAAATCATTTGAAATTTGTGTCGGCACGTCATAAATAGAACACTATAGCAGTTTACTGTCGGGGACTTGTCGTGTCACGCCGTGCCGCATCCAGTATAGACAGCATCACTGATTATGAGTTCTATACACTGATCTATATATAATGAATCTCTGTTATAGATCAGTGGTTCTATAGTATTTTGTCGCGCCGTGCCGCTTGTGTCTGGTGTAAACACGGTGTTAGGAATCGTTATTTGTTTTCCCTTCTAACTCCGTCTATTCTCTTTTATCACTTCTATGCTGTTTATCCTTGCTGTTGTCGATGTTATCGCCATGACGACCTTCCTCAGGTTCTGTCCCTCAGCTGACTCCTCTATTGATTGGGGCTTGTCTAAAACCTTGTGCTGAGATGTAGACGCTCAGGAGATTTCAGGCCGGCTCTATGTACACTAAATACACTCTAACGTGGCTCTTGTGTTTATGGGCTGTTTGTTTATGTGTATCATCGTGACATTTGCAGAGGGTCTATGAGGGTGTCTGTCATCCTGTGAATAACTGCTGCATTTGGGCTATTCAGAGCTCTCCTTCTGCGTCCTTGGCGTAAAGCATTAGATTAATAAGTCACCATTACTGGGGCATACTCTCCTTAAAGCATCTCATTCAAGAGATGCCCACACTTTGAAATGCATCCAGTGAGTGCAGGGATTCAAGCTGCTATTGTGTTAGAACTGGTTGATGAAATCTAGGCTAGGCTAGGCTAGGAAGCTAACGAGGGCTCTGTAGAGTAGCTATCACTGCTGGCGATAAGCGCATACAATACTCGGCAGCTAGAAAGGAGTGAGAATGAGTGTTAAATAGTGAGTGAGTGATATGAAACAGCTGTGTGCAATCAGTGCTGTGTGCAATCAGTGCAATGAATGATGGGATATGTAGTCCGGGGTGATATGCAACAGTGTGTAGTGCGAGAGTCAATGAAAATGGAAAGGGTGACCTCTGATGGCTAACAGACGGAAGTTCATGGACCGGATACGTAACAACTACATTGTTTGGCTGAAGAATAATGTTTTTATTAATATCATTACACTTTATTTGACTTTATAACAGCTAAGGTGGTTGTAGGCACTCCGCTTCACGTCGTGCCTAACAATGCCCCTTAGCTGTTATAAATTCACTGTAAACCACAGCTTCTTGGGGCTTATTGCTTTAATGAAGTATAGTTTGAAAGGCTGCGCGTTCGGCTGTATTGTACACATACGCTGAGACGCTTCAGACAGCGTGCCAGTAGCGCTTCAACTGACAAAAACACACACAATTATGTCAAAATGCACGGTTTTGGCGAGTTACCTCATAAACGTGTTCTTAACTGAGTTATAAAGTCTTAAATGACTGAAAGTTTGGAGAAAATCGGATGTGTCAGATCCGCGTCATCAGGTTTTAAAGAGACAGCGCTGAAGTCTGTCATTGATGTAAATCAAAGAACAAAAGAAAAAGAGAAATCACTTGACTGCTCTAGTCTCTGATTAACTTTTGTAGCTTGAATACAAATTAACCAATATCGTTTATGCATATACAATTTATAGTTTGTGAAGATTGTGTTAAAATCACTTAAATTGAAAGTTATATATTTCAGAGCCTATTAAATGTAAAAAATAATGGCTTTCAATTATACTGTAATGTTGAATGGCTATAATTAATAGGTAAAATTGAAAGAAAGTGCATTTAGTAGAGACAGCAGTAGCAGTATTGGTATCAGTACTTCATTAACAATAGGCTACTTAGTAAAAAGATGCCATTAAACACGTACTTAAAATATACAATCTTTATGTTGTTTCTACATTAATTTGGAGGTTCAGCGTGAAATTATGACAATATAAATATATAAATATGCGATTAATCATGATTAATTACAGAAAAATGTGGGATTAATTCATTATTTTTTAATTGATTGACAGACAGCACTGTGTTAACCTTTTATAGATCTTGGTGTTGGTAATATTAGTTCATTTTACTGCTGAATATGCATTTCAATTTAATTTCAAATTTTATAGGCCCCCCCAGAAAGAGATTGGGATGGCCCCCACCCCCTTGGTCCCCTTCAAATTTTCAGTTCCATAATCCGGCCCTCAAATGAAGCTAGTTGAATAGCCCTGATCTAAAGTTTATGTGTCCTTAAAATATATTCCTAGAATTATTGTTATTTAAAATCTCTATCTCTTGTTTACATTTTCTGTATGGACCCATGTCATTGCACATCCAACACTCCATAACATTACTTACAAGTTCATGCAAGTTATATGCATACATTTTACATGCATAAATTATTAGTATTTGCATATTGCCTTCATACCTTATTTTATGTATATATTGCTATCTTTGTTACCGTCTATTTGCTGTATATATACAAACATTTGTAATCAAGCCACATTTCTTTCACCTGCCCAATTAAATGCTTTTTATTTTATTTTATTTATTATTTTCATTCACCAAGTGTAAGAAATTACTTGCAGATTATTTTCAGTTTTTTTTTATTCATGTAGATGATAAATATTTTATTTTATTTTATTTATAATTGTATTCTAAAATAATCATAATTTCAACTAGAATATTATCTGCTCTATAAACACAGTTAACTCCTGAAACTCCTGTATTAAAGCCAAATTTCTTCCACCTGGCAGAATAAAATAAAACTTTTTTTAAATTTTTTTATTTAATTTAATTTTTTTTATATTCTATTTTATAGAAAGAGTTTCATTGGCCAGGTGGAAGAAATAACAGATTACTTTCTATTTGAAATTCTGATTATTTACTATTATACATATTTTATTTTATTTACAATTTTAAGATAATCAGAATTTAAACTAGAAAGGTAATCTGCTGTTTAAAATCATAGTTGGCTACACAACAAGTTACTACGGTAATACAAAGTAGCAAACAGCAATTAAACTGTTCAGGGAGGAAATACAAAACATATCAGAATGATATTATTTTTTGCTTCACGTGGCAGCAAGGTTGCCAGGTTTTCACAACAAAATCCGCCCAATTTATACTCAAAACTAGCCCAAAACTAGCCCAATTGCGTTTCGGGGGGTGAAATACACGTTTTTTTGCTGGGTTCCCCTGGTAAAATTCGCATTCCAGGGGATAAATATCACGTTATTGGGGTCGCTTCAACCTGCGGACCTGAAGAACAACTCGCGGGAACAGTGTTAAAGTAGTAATTCCAAAACTTGGCAACACTGCGTGGCAGACACAAAAAAAGGAACAGCCTTAAATTTTAAAATACATACAAACAATACAACAAGACCCCTTATATCAAAAATGAAAATTATTGCAACGCTGAACTCATACGTCATCCGCCCGGAGCTGCTTCCGTGTACAACTGTTGGTGCAAGCTACATTAAAGTGATTTTTACGTTTTGAATATGGATATTTTTCTTACAAAAACACATCGATTCGCTACAGGAGGCCTTTGTCCCCCCCCCACCCAGAGCCGTGTGAGACACTTTTTTTTTTATGGATGGGCGCTTTTTATTTAACTTCTTTTGGACTGATGCATGCAACACCCGCTGAGTGGCATTAAACAGCTTGAAAGATCAAAGACCATTTTTAATATAACTCCGACTGGATTCGTCTGAAAGAAGAAAGTCATATACACCTAGGATGACTTGAGGGTGAGTAATTTATGGGCCAATTTTCATTTTTGGGTGAACTAACCCTTTAATTTAAAAATCAAACTTACACTAAATAAAAATTAGGGATGGGTCACGAAAATCGAGTTGATTAGTGAGGTCAAATACTTTATGTATGTATGTACAGTATGTATGTATGTATTTATTTATTTATTCATGCTACTACTGAAATTATTTTATTTTTTTATATAGTTTTATTTTATTTGCACGATTGATTCATATCAACACTGCTGGATGATCAGCCAAAAGATCTCTCTCACTTTTGTTCTCCAAATGTTCCTAAGACTCACCAGCCAAGGTCGCCGTGATTTTGCCAAGTAAGACATGTTCCTGGATCAACATCTTTTGATGATCCTGGATCAACATTATTGTCCAAAAACATAGACTAACCTTACCCATAATTTATTCTTAAAATTAGAGGGAAATGATAGCTGATTAACAAGGGTGTAGAAGCACCTAACCCTGATTTAAAGCCTAAAACAGATATTTCCTGAAAAGTTATATGTTGATCCAGGAACATGTTGTACTTGGTGAAATCACGCTCACCCACCAGCCAAAACCAGACTGAAGCGCTTCTCTTCCACATCCTCACTATTTGTCTTCATCTACCCACTTCATTTACCCCTGCAGGTCTTTGTAAGGTGTCCAAATGTCTTTCACAGAGTATGTCCTGCCTGTCGCTTTTTCAGATTCACATTCAAACCACTAAAAATAGACGGCCTTTCAGCAAAGACGTCATACGGGTTTGGAACGACATGAGGGTGAGTAAAAAAACATTTATTTTTAGGTGAACTATTTCTTACTGTCCTGAGACAACAGGCTGTAAAACACCACTATTCTCAACCCTTATGTTTAAGAGTGTGTGAGCGTTTCTCACTCACCCTCACAGCTTCGTCCATCAGCGAGCAGCTTGTATCCGGTGGGACAGGAGCAGTGGTACGATCCCGGGACGTTTACACAGGCGTGGCCACACAGAGGCCCTCCACGGTCAGCCTTATACACCTCACATTCATTCACATCTGGGCACAACATGTGATTACATGTGTGGATTTGACAAGAGACAGTGACAGAAAGGAAATGAGACAAGAAAATAAAATATAAGCTACAACAGGGCTAAAGGCACACCTTAAAGGGATAGTTCACCCAAAAATGAAAATTCTGTCATTAATTACTCACCCTCGTATTGTTCCAAACCCGTAAGAACTTCGTTCATCTTCGGAACACAAATGAAGATATTTTTGATGGAATCTGAGAGCTGTCTGACCCTGCATAGACAGCAAGGCAACTGAAATGTTCCCAAGTCCAGAAACATAGCAAGGAGATATGTAAAATAATCCATGTGACATCAGTGGTTCATCCGCAATTATACGAAGCTACGAGAATACTTTGGCGTGACTCAGCTGACACAGAACAGCATATGTTATTTACGTTCTTTGCTGTCTATGGGAGGGTCAGAGAGCTCTCAGATTCCATCAAAAATATCTTAATTTGTGTTCTGAAGATGAACGAAGGTCTTATGGGTTTGAAACAACACGAAGGTGAGTAATTAATGACAGAATTTTCATTTTTGGGTGAACTAACCCTTTAAGGAAAACTACTCATATAGTGTATAACTGCAGAAAATGCACAACACATTTTGTGGGAAAATAAATCATAAAAGTGGTTTGTTTTGTTTAAAAATCATGCATTGATACAAATACAAATCCTGAAGTAATGTTTTGCATAACATCTAAGTTAATACTTCTCTAAATCAATCACTAAAAATACAGAAAAAATATTTAAAAAGTAAAGATTCTGAACGTTTTGAAAGAGATCCCATAATAATTTAATATGGCTTTATAGTAGTAACAATAAATATGATTTTCCATTATATGATATTATTAACATCATAATTTGAAATATGCTGGTTTGACTGATGTTAACACCATCTGAATCAAACAATGTCATGTCAACAAATGGAAAAGTCAGTTAGTTTAGTTAAATATTATCATGCAGCTTATCAATTATTGTGCCTTTAAAAAAATCAGTTGAACAAAACCGAAAATTGTAAAATGTGCCTAATAAATGTATTTGTTGTACCCTACTGTTAATAATTAAGCTAATAATTAATTGAATCATTAATAAAATCATGTCAAATTATAATTAAAAATAATAATTAAAGAAAACAATCAAAATGAAACACTTACTAAATATGGAATATTTTATTTGTTTACCTACATGTCACGTGACCATTAATCGAGAACTGTGAACATGCAAATGTGTTGTTAAATTATTGAAATGTTAACTCTTTATAATATTAACTGTTTAAAATATGTAAATATTTTAGGTCAAAGGGGTTTGGCTGATAAAAAAGTTTGAAAATCTCAGAGTTATTTTAATCTGATCTGACATGTAAAAGTGGCCCTTATTAAGTGTCATCTTATAATTACTGTTAATAATACATTTAGCATTTACTAGTAATGGACAGCCTCCAGCGGCTTATTGCTTTAATGCATCCTGAGATCTCTACTAGAATCCTTATTTGTGACCCTGGAGCACAAAACCAGTCATAAGGGTCAATATTTGGAAATTGAGATTTATACATCATCTGAAAGCTGAATAAATAAGTTTCACATTGATGTAGGCCTATGGCTTGTTAGGATAGGACAATATTTGGCCGAGATACAACTATTTAAAATCTGGAATCTGAGGGTGCAAAAAAATCTAAATATTGAGAAAATCGCCTTTAAAGTTGTCCAAATGAAGTTCTTAGCAATGCATATTACTAATCAAAAATTAAGTTTTTATATATTTACAGTAGGAAATTTACAAAATATCTTCATGGAACATGATCTTTACTTAATATCCTAATGATTTTTGGCATAAAAAGAAAAATCCATAATTTTAACCCATACAATGTATTGTTGGCTATTGCTACAAATATACCCCAGCGACTTAAAACTGGTTTTGTGCTCTAGGGTCACATATGTGGTTGTTTGATGGACCCACCCTGACAGATGCTGTTGTCTGAGGTGCCGCTCATGTGGAAGCCAGCGTCACAGCTGCAGTGCTGAGCTCGGTCCACTTTGGCACAGCGAGGCTTACGGCTGAAGGCCGGGTCATTCATGACACTCCACTCCGGAGGCGCTGACAGAGACCGAGAGAGGAAATGGAAAAAAGGAGGCTTAACCTCCCACAAACACACAGACAAACATTCACACGCATGCTTTCATTTATAGACCGGAACACAGGTTAAAGGTGAAGTGTGTCATGCTTCACTACTAGCAGCTGCATTTGGAATCGCAAAAGTATTTCTTGCATTTTCTGTTGAAAATGTGTGTTGCACATGCAAAAGTCGCCACTAATGATTAGTGGGTTTTTAATTTTAGGCATGAATGTGTGGTTGATATTAGGGGTGGGTGATCTGGCGATTTAGTGTTGTTAGCCTGAAGAAGTCCACATTCTTCTAATCAAACTAATCAAAGAATGTTGGTAACAGTGTTGAGGGTAACGCATTACGAGTAACGTACGAGTTACTTTTTCAAATAAGTAACGGCAGGTACTTTGTTTTCCCATTTATTGACTGACAGATCTCCTGTCCCCATGTTGAGAGAAAACAGGAGTGCTTACAAAAACCATACTAATAATCAAAAATGACTTTAGATAAACATAACATTTGTGGGTTATTTATTTATTTATTGTTTTACTTTCTTCTCCTGTGTCCTATTGTTAATGCAATCCAGAATGGCATTAGTTTGAGCTGCGCCCTCTACTGTACAGACGTTAATTGACATTTCCGTATCCATTTCACTTTTTCAAATGCTTTTACATTTGCCAAAAATAGAACTTTTTTATATCAAAAACAAGCAATAAAGAAGCAAGCCCAGCCCAGATGAGAAAACGTTACGCAAAAGTAACGTAACGCATTACTTTCCATAAAAGTAATTGAATTAGTTACTTTTTTAGGGAGTAACGCAATATTGTAGTGTATTAACTTTCCCCAAGACTGGTTGGTAACTAAACAGTTGCTGTTAGCCATTGACTTCCATAGTATTTTTTTTTTCATACTATGGACGTCAATGGATTGGTTTGATTACCAACATTCTTCAAAATATCTTCCTTTTGTGCTCAGCAGAAGAAAGAAACTCATACAGATTTGTTACAGCTTGAGAGGGAATAAATGATGACAGAATTTTCATTTTTGGGTGAATTATCCCTTTAAAAAACGAACATGAAAAAGAATCATGATAAGATCGTGGGTTCCCCCCCAAGACTGGTTGGTAACTAAACAGTTGCTGTTAGCCATTGACTTCCATAGTATTTTTTTTTTCATACTATGGACGTCAATGGATTGGTTTGATTACCAACATTCTTCAAAATATCTTCCTTTTGTGCTCAGCAGAAGAAAGAAACTCATACAGATTTGTTACAGCTTGAGAGGGAATAAATGATTTTGGGTGAATTATCCCTTTAAAAAACGAACATGAAAAAGAATCATGATAAGATCGTGGGTTCCTTCCTGAAAAAATTGTGATATGATATTTTTGTGATATCACCCACCCCTAGTTAATATGTTCCGTCTGCCGTTGACACATATAGAAGAGATTAAAGGAACACAGACCTGTCTGCGTCTGGTATTGACATTGACTGCCGCTCCAGTTGTGTGGACAGGTGCACTTGTACTGGTTCAGAGCCTCCACACAGGTGCCGCCGTTCTGACACGGGTTACTGGCGCACACACTCACGTCTGTGTGAAAGACAACAGCCTTGTAGTGCAGACCAGTGTTTGTTCTCTGAGGAGCTGAGATCAATGATGTTACAGTTCACAACAAACAGCTTTGATGGCAAATCATCCCAAATAAATGTTGGCCTAATGCAACTAATCTTAAAATGAGAAATTAAAACATATTTGGCATACAGAAAATGGATCATATGACATTTATATTACCATAATGAACCCGGATCTGTTGTGTGTAGGTTTTTTTTTTGTGTGTGCAATTTTCATTTTTCTTTATAATTATTTTATAGTAATATTTTATGGAATTAAAATTAAAGTAAAAAAATGTAATACAATAACTTAACCAACTTAAATCAATGATTTAATGCAACATAAATCAAAGGCAATATGCAATATACATACATTTGCAAATATACAATTTCTATTATATTTTATATAATTTTTACAGTAATGAGAATGGGGGAAATGTGTTGTCATGAAAATAATGTCACAGTGCAAACAATCAAAGGGCAATACAATAAATAATTATTAACAATCTATAAATAAAATGTATATGTAATTTTATATACATTATTTATATACTTTATATATATATGCTGTCATGAAAATAATGTCACAGTGCAAAAAAAAAAAGTTTTTTACTTTTCTTTTCATTTTGAGGTGAAATATGACCCAAGAATGTTTGTTTTCATGAGATGCTTGTAAAGCTTATTCTGTTTTATCTTTTGCAATTTTTATTATTTATACTTTATAGGTCTTTATATAGCATTTTTTAATGAAAAAAAAAAAAATGGAACAGTAAAAAAGTAATACAATGAATTTTTTTAATCCAACTTAAATCGATGATTTAATTCAACATAAACTAAAGCCAGTAAAAAAATTTTTTTTACCATGATGTATAATCAAATGTTTTATTATTTATTTATTTAAAAAAAAATTTTTTTTTTTTTTATGGGGTTGCCATGAAAATAATGTCACAAAGCAAAAAAAAATCTTAATCTTCTTTTGATTTTGGGGTGAAAATGACCCAAACATGTCTGGTTTCATGAGATTCACCCTGAATGGTTGTGTTTTGTAAAGCCACTTGTTGTATTATCTGGAATACCGTCTTTATCATGGATTTGGAATCCTAATTAAGGCCGAATGAAAGAAATAGTTGAAATGTCCCAGATCCTTATCTCCGTGTCTGTACAGAGCTGAGGTTTATGTGTCCATGGAAAGCACCTGTATTGTTGAAGGAGTTAAACGAGCCCACATTCTTCCCTATTTCCTGTACAGAATGGCAGAGTAAAATGAAACCGATCTTCTGGAATGTTAACAATGGAGTGGCCAAACGGAGGAAGGGAATGTTGAGCGGCTTCTCTCAAACGGCCGCTGTCACATTCACAGTATCCCGCACGCAGCTTTGTGTCCCTAATCGTAAACGCTTGTGAGGTCGGTTAGGTTTACAACAGCTACTGTGCCACGCAACATCTGTCTGCAGCAGCTGCGGGCGGCAACCTCCATCTGCTCTGGATGGGAATTTACTGCCGCTGCTGTAAATATCTGTAATGGACAGTGAGAGCATGCTTGTGAGGCCCGTGGACAGAAGAAGCCAGAGATGAGCAGATAGAGCGCTGTTAGCCACACATGTTTAGGCAGAGATCCCTAAAGAGCTGATGCAATGATCCCTGAAACCACATTCTTTTGATTTGATTTGTGGTTATTTCTGTAATAAAAGAGTAGTGATGTAAGTATAGGGTGTAATGCTGTGGGTCAGGTATCTGGTTTGGATGATTTGTAAATGTTTTCAAAAATATGCTGAAGATTGGTCAGACAATTTGCATCATTGTGGAATACTGTCACAAACTATATATGAAGTCAAATCAAGTGTAATCAATTTTTCAGTTCAATGCATTATGATAAGGATACATATACATATACAGACTTGCACTTTCAGGACTCAAAAGCTGATATGTGAAGCAGTGTTATTTTAGTATTATTTATACACTATTATGGTACTTATTAATTTTTTTTATTTTAGTTTCAGTAATTTTTTATGTGCATTTATATTTTTTTATTTTTCTATTTATATATATATATATATTTTTTTTTTTTTCAGTTTTGGTTTAAATCATTTTAATACTACAAACTTACTTTTTTTTTTAAGTTAGTTGCGAAGTCAACATAGTAATAATAACATTTACTATTTTTATATTTAATATTTATATTTTATCTCTGCTATATTTTAATTGACAAAAACAAGTTTTTAAAAGTGTTAGTTAGCAATAACATTAATGTGAAGATAACTGAAGAGAATTGCGTTAAGAAATAAGTGAAGATAATTCCTGTTATGGATAAACAAATTAAAAATAAACATAAATATAAATATAATTAATATATAGATATATATTTCACATTACATTAATTAAAATGGGGGTGATGTGCTTAATTGTTATGAAAATGTTAAAATGCTATAGCCAAAATGCATTATTATTATTATTATTTATTCGTTTTTTCCCTTTTGATTTTGGGATGAAATATGACACTAAAGTATAAAGTTAAATAAGTTAAAATTAAATAAATAATATTTGGCATAAAGAAAATGCGGCCTGTTTTAGTACCATTTAGATGTTTTGCATTTAGACACAAATTTTCATTACACTCTAAAAAATGCTGGATTAAATATAACCCAGCGCTGGGTTAAAAAGTGACAAACCCAGCTATTGGGTTGTTTTGACCCAGCTGGGTCAAAACAACCCAATAGCTGGGTTTGTCCCTTTTAAGCCCAGCATTTTTTAGAGTGTACCATTATGCATATGTTCTGGACTTTTTCCTTTTGTGTTTGTAATTGTCATTATTTCTGTTACAAAGTCTTTATATTGTGTCCTTATGTGTATCATGTGCAAGTCAGAGGGTTAAGCGGCAAAAACTGAGGGACGAAGGGCAAAATTAGCTATATAGACCAAAATAATTTTTTGACCCAGGCTGTAAACATGTTTTTTTCTGCTGTAAAGTTGGGCATTTTAACATGGGGGGTCTATGGGATTGACTCCCTTTTGCAGCCAGCCTCTAGCGGCCAGTCGATGAATTACAGTTTAAGTCACTTCCGTGTTGGCTTCACAAGAGAGAGCGGGAGTTTGCCGCTTGGGGACGAGTCTAAATAATTTTCTGTGGTAATCAACATTGTGCCACAAATGCTTTCAAGTTTTGAAACATTTTCTACAGGGAAAGTCCAGTGTGAAAAGAAATCCACAGCAGTTCCTCAAAATGTGGAGAACGTGCTCCAGTTGGACATCAGACATAAGGAAATTAAATTAGAAAGACACTGAGAGTGAATGAGAAAAAGGAGGTTTGGAATCAAAAGCTTTGACTTTTCGCCCAAAGGAATGTTTCTTCGACAACAGCGCTCACGATCCTTCTCCTGTTTATTTTCTTTCCCAGGAGGCTTAAGTGCGAGAATTTGCAGATGTAAAAGGTTCACTTCAGTCCCCAAAATATTTCAAAACTGCCTATGAACATAGTTATGTTTTTTCACCAACTCTGAAAGGTGCTTTCGTACCTCAAAACTCTCAAAATAGACTGACTTACCTCGTCTGCAGAAACATAGACATTACACCGTCTGTGCAGGCTTTAAACCTAAACTCTCTCTCAAACACACGCCCCTTTCAAACACACTGCGTCCCACTGTACCACTTGGAATGTCCCGAATGCTGCCAGCAGCGATATTAAAGGAAGTCATCAATAGCATGCTTAGCATAGTTGCGTCCTATTGGGCCATGGGCCGGCTTATTGAGATGTGTGCGTGAGCTTAACCTCTGACCTCTGAGACTTCATACAAAACACAGACTGCGGTACACTGCCAGTCTAAAATTGGTCTGTCTGTTTATTCTTTATTAATATTTTCTCATTTTAGAATAATAGTAAAGTGTCAAAACGATGAAATAGCACAGATGGAAGTGTGATGTAGTGAGCAAAACGTGAGAAATGAAAACTATGTTTGAGCTGCTTCAGTTTAGATTACAGCTCTGCTCATGAGGTGCATCCTGGGATGCTTTTGAATACTATTTAAGGAGGAAGATGTGTTATCTTATGGAGGCCTGTTTCTGCTTCAGATTGGAAAATAAAACAGATTAGATGAAATAATATTGTAATAAACAAAAATTAGAATTTTGAGATATGCATTAATGAAAAATATAGTTGTAAGCTTAAAAAAATTGCCACAACCTTTTTTATTGTTTGATTGATTAATAATAATAATAATAATAATTATTATTATTATTATTTACTATAGGTAAAAATGGGTTCTCATACTCATACATAACGGTGGTTTCATCCGTTTTTTTTAATGTGATAACTTTACAATAAGGTCCAATTAGTTAATGCACTACCTAACATTAATAATGTGCAATACATTTGTTACAGTATTTATTAATCTTTGTTAATGTTAGTTAAAACTGTTCATTATTAGTTCATGTTAACTAATGCAGTTAACTAATGTTAACAAACCTTTTTATAAAACATTACCTTTGTTTTTCTACAAAATTAAGCAGTGTTATTTTAGTATCATTGAGATATTATTATAGTTTTTATTCATTTTTAATTTAAATTTTTTAAAGTTTCAGTTATTTTGTTGTGTGTTTTTTTGTTGTTGTCTTTTTACTAGTTTGTATTCCATTTTATTTGGGTTTATTTATTTTAGTACTTATTTCCTTAAATAAGGAACCTTACACCTCAATTATCTTCACATTAGCGTTATTGCTAACTAACACTATTAAAAATCATTTTTGTTCATTAAAATATAGCAGAGATTAAATATAAATATTAGTACAGTATGTTGCATTGGCATAAGTGTAAGATGAAGTATTAAAATGATTAAAACAAAAAAATGTAATAAAAATAAGGCTAAACAGAAATATATACAAAAAATAAAAATGATAAAGGCACATAAAAAATTGCTGAAACTAAATATTATAATCAGGTTTTTCAGTCTGGTTCTCATAAGAGCACCTGGAGATTTGGTTTGGTTCTCACACTGCACATAGTGTAACCCATTAAATATAACTATAAAAAATTAATTAATAATAGTGATAATAATATTATTTCACTTTATTTATTTCGTTTTTTCAATTAAAATAATAAACAAAATAATAAAGTGTGATAATACTATTATATTTTAAAATAAAAAGGGAGTATTAAAAAAACGATTATTTTATAGTAAACTTAAAAATAAAATGCTAATATTTACTCTTTTTTTTTTATATTAATTTTCATCATTTTCAAACTTAAAATCAGCACGTTTTTATTTTGGCAGGTTGTAAGTATATGCGCATCAGTGAAGAGCGTCAGTGAATGAAATGTCACAGTTTTGCATTGTGCTTTGAAAACGGCAGCGAATAGCCTAGACTTATGCTTTGAGTTCGAATAGAAATCTCATATAGTATTAGAGTTTGTCGATCTAAAATGGTAATTGTGCATTAACAGCCACCAACGATGTTGGTTTACGCAAATGAGCGGTCTTAACTTATTTACACAGTGCATTTTTTATTTTGGTCACGCATGCGCACCTGCGCACCACTTACGTGCACCCCTGACTATAATAGTGTACAAACAACACTGCTTCACATATCTGCTTTTGAGTTCAAAATGTAAACATTTTTTAACAAAAGTTTTTTTTCAGTCAACTTTTTTTCAAGTAACGAAAATGTTCAAATAACGTAGTGGTTTTAGATTAGCTTTTGTTAAAAACCCTGAGCAGAAGCTTTTAGGTCAAACATTTTTCAAGATCAAGAGAAACATGTTTTCAGTCGAGAGTGTCCAATCTTTTGAGCGGTAGTGTATTTTCAGTCCGAGTTGAAACCTGAGGTATGAAGCTGGCTCTTTTTACAGTAGCCAGTTGAAGCCGAAGCATGAAGGTCAGACAGACGCACCATGGACAGGAATGCAAGTACAGGTGTTTCGCTGCGTTTCGGGACATTCAATGCTTCTTTAACGAGAGCTTCATTCAGTGCAGCTCGAGAGTGAAGAATGCCTCTCTTTCTTCAGCGCTCCTTATCTTTCTGCCTGTGTGTGTAGTGCTGGTTTTGCTAGCTGTGGTGTTCACAGTCACTTTCTTTCACAAGCGCTGGTATTCAAGCTTTATCTCAGTACTGTCACCCTGAATGGGATTTCAGATTAGCCAGCTCGCAATACAACAATAGAATGGTAGTCTCGGTGTCTTAGTCCAGGAATTCTGCTCAATAACACAGATATAGTTACATGGTGAATCTGTGGGCTATGTATGATGATGATACATGATGCTTTATCTGGTTTTTGAGTTTCTAATCCACGATTATTTTATAGTAAACTTAAAAATAAAATGCTAATATTTACTCTTTTTTTTTTATATTAATTTTCATCATTTTCAAACTTAAAATCAGCACGTTTTTATTTTGGCAGGTTGTAAGTATATGCGCATCAGTGAAGAGCGTCAGTGAATGAAATGTCACAGTTTTGCATTGTGCTTTGAAAACGGCAGCGAATAGCCTAGACTTATGCTTTGAGTTCGAATAGAAATCTCATATAGTATTAGAGTTTGTCGATCTAAAATGGTAATTGTGCATTAACAGCCACCAACGATGTTGGTTTACGCAAATGAGCGGTCTTAACTTATTTACACAGTGCATTTTTTATTTTGGTCACGCATGCGCACCTGCGCACCACTTACGTGCACCCCTGACTATAATAGTGTACAAACAACACTGCTTCACATATCTGCTTTTGAGTTCAAAATGTAAACATTTTTTAACAAAAGTTTTTTTTCAGTCAACTTTTTTTCAAGTAACGAAAATGTTCAAATAACGTAGTGGTTTTAGATTAGCTTTTGTTAAAAACCCTGAGCAGAAGCTTTTAGGTCAAACATTTTTCAAGATCAAGAGAAACATGTTTTCAGTCGAGAGTGTCCAATCTTTTGAGCGGTAGTGTATTTTCAGTCCGAGTTGAAACCTGAGGTATGAAGCTGGCTCTTTTTACAGTAGCCAGTTGAAGCCGAAGCATGAAGGTCATTGAGACGCACCATGGACAGGAATGCAAGTACAGGTGTTTCGCTGCGTTTCGGGACATTCAATGCTTCTTTAACGAGAGCTTCATTCAGTGCAGCTCGAGAGTGAAGAATGCCTCTCTTTCTTCAGCGCTCCTTATCTTTCTGCCTGTGTGTGTAGTGCTGGTTTTGCTAAAATAATGATCTTTAAAAAAGCATCATATGACCCCTTTAAGACAGAAAACAAAAATAGTGCTGGATTGCATGAAATTTACCTCAAATTCATTGCAAACAAATCTCACAAATGTGTTCTTTCATTTGTGTGTCCGCGATGAATCAGCTCTTTATACCACAAGCGGAGCTTGAGAATGAGCAACACACAGTATTGCAGGAAAAGACCATTATATACATAAATACAAACATTAGAAAAAGAGCATTATAACATGAGGGCACTTTTTAATGGGTACTTGCCTTTCACTGATTCAATGATTCACTTAATTCACTTTTCATTGCTGAACAAATTAACGTTTTGAGTGAATCAGTTGAATCAATGAATCACTCATAAAAGGCACCCACTTGTTTACTTGCTGGATAAAGGTGTGTTTTTGAATGAATCGATTGCATGATTGATTGAATGACTCTTTCCGGAATGAATCAGATGCTTGATTCGTTCCTGAACGAATCAGCATTTTGCAAATAGGTTGACACACTCATAAAGGCAGCCACTTGTTTCAACAATCAACGACCTTGAATGATTCAATGACTCAGTTGTTGGTTTCTATCCTATTTAAATCAACGGTTTTGAATGAATTTGTTGAATTAATTCAAATTAAGTCAAGACAGTCTTCTGTCTTGTCTCATTTACTGGTGTTTGTGTGTGTGTATCTCTCTCTATATATATGTATAGTATGTAGTGAAATTCACTTGTGTTGAGGTTCCACGATATACAGTGTACGAAACACATTCATTTGAAGCTTTTGACCCACCTTTACAGACGGCGCTGACTCCGCTCCAGGTACCGTTCTCCTGGCACACGCGTGTTCCCCGTCCTATCATGCGATAACCCTGAGAACACGTGAAATGGACCTCATGACCCACCAGGTACTTTGAGCCAAACTTCCTCCCGTGGGCCGGAGCCACCAGAGGTGGACATGAGGATTGGGCTAAAGATGACATGAGAGGACAAACAGACATAAAGAGAGGGGAATGTCAGAGTAGAACAGGGTTACATGAGGGACAGAAGTCACGCATGCTGAAATGCTTGGATATATTGCTTGAAGGCAGGCATGTGTTACTGAGTGTGGGAACTGTCATGGGAAAAGATGGGAAATGTCTCATTTTATACAGACAGCTTAAGAATAGGCGAACAATACCACATGGACCGTACAGAAAAACAAGGCCTGGTGCTTGTATGTTGTTTATGGCTAATTAAGGTAAATTGAAATTGATTCTATATTCTTTACTAATATACATTCCGTTTAACTGTGCCAATCCATGCACCAAAAAAGAGAAAATGTTTTGTACATTAAAATGCTGAAACGTCTTCAAATAATCAAAACCTCTTATTTCTAGGTTTTCTAGTTAAAGCCAGAATGTTTATAGCCAAAACCTAAATAAATAAATAATTTAATTAATTAATTAAAATAAACCTTTTTCTAAAATAAAATAAAAAACATATTTTTTAAATTTATTGCCAAGGCAATATTTCTCATTTTCATTTAGTTCAGTTAGTTGACCTTTTTGCACTAAAATAACTGAAACTGAAAACATTAATTAAATTAATGAAAACTATAGACTTGACAAAAACACAACAAAGTTGTTGGATTATTAATAAAAAAAAAGTATATATTATTTTAAAGTGGTGTGTGTGTGTGTGTGTATATATATATATATATATATATATATATATATTTTTTTTTACAATTCAGATTTCACAATCTGATGAGTTTCTCAAAGAATCTACTTAATTTTATCCTGTCAAGCACTGGCTGCTACAAATGCCAAAGTAACTCTTGATCATTCCTGCCGCCAACCCTGGTTCATGAACTGTGCAGTAGCTTGGGCCAAATGACACAGCTACACATCCGACCCGTTCACATCATCCGTAGAGTGCTGAGCGTAATCCAGAGCTTGGACTCCTTTCCAAACCTGAAGCAGCAGCCAGACCACTGATTTTAAAGGAAGGAAGTAATTTCATGCTTATAAAATACAAATAGAATTCGAGAGATCTTTGATTTGTTGGAATTCTGAGGCTCGTTTATTAGGATTAATAAATCCTCTATGCAAGAATTACTTTCCAAAAACAATTTTTTTATTGACTGGATACTTTTGTCGCCAACAGACACAAGCTCTTTCATTCAACAAACCCATTTTGCAGAGCGCAAATACATGAGAAAGTGTATGACTCAAGACCCTTCAGTTTCATTTAGAATTCATTTTCCTGATTACAAAAAAAAAAAGACTTTAGTCAGACACCATATTTAAATGAAGTGTAGCCTTTTTTATTTCGGTGGTCAAATATTTTCTCCTATCCTAGCTTAATATGCAAAAACACTATCATAACAATGCTCTGTTTGCATCTTGATGCAGCAACATTGACTCAACCAACGGCAGGAGACCTGTTTGAGAACAATCAATATTTTCTCAATTTTGTTTGGTGGAGCTAGAGGTGCAGAGTTTTTATGTTCACTGGAAATGCATGAATATTTTTTCAATGTTTTTCAGTTGAATGATAAATACTGAAGTACACTGAAGTACACATTTACATTAGTGAACTTTGAGGTACATTTTCCATGCAAAAAGGCCCACTGTCCATTGTCAATAGCAAAATTTTGCAGAGCAACGCTAAATGTGACTGCACCTTAAAGGCAGAGTAAGTGATTTTTTCCTCTTTTGTTTTTTATCCGCCATCTCTATCTCCTTGTCGCTCGGCTCGGCTAATGTCCGTCCCATGCACTGAACGCGCTCTCCTCCACATCACGAGTAGACACGCCCCTTATTGCTGATTGGCTACAAGTTTGTTTTGCGATTCGGCCTGAATTTTCAAGTGTTTTTGAAAAATCACATACCCTGCCTTTAAGAATTTTCATCTTCCAATTAAGGGCAGCTTGCATATTTATTTATTAATTTGTTTGATTTTTTTAAAAATTATTATTTATAGACTATTTCAGAGTTAATTAAATATTAGCTTTTATATTTACATTGTAAATTAGCATTTTAATTTTAGTTTACGTTTTAGTAATTTCATGTTATATTTGTAATACTTCTATTTAGCTTTATTTTATTTTATGTCAGTTTTAGTTTTAGTAATTTTATTACTTCAATTCAAAACTTCAATTATTTATATTAAATGGTAAAAAAATGATTTTTTTGAAGCTGTAAATAAAACAGATTATTGGAGTACATTTTACAAGAAAATACTATTTTAGTCTTTCTACTTGAACATTTCATGTTTAATTCAACTCAATTTCTCGTAGTCTTTTTTGTAATTATTTGTCAAATTTACTAGCAATTTCTGAGTAAGTAAATCTATTAAACTATTTTATTCAGTTTTTTTATTTAAAGTTTTAAAGTTTTTAGTGTTTCATCTAATATTTATATTTTACATTTCAGCTTTACTGAAAGCTATTTTTGATAGTTTTAGTTATAAAACAATAACATCTTTCATATTCCGCTTTGATGTATGTTTTATAACTATGACGCCAGCAACTCCAGATGCCTGAATGACATCAAACACACCTGCTCTATGTGGAATCAGTAAGTCAGAAATAAACATGTAGGCCTACATTTAAGAAAGAAGAAACCTCACATTCACAGAGTGTATTGATATAATGAGATGTATGAGTGTGTCATGTGTTATGGCACTTACATGAGGACTGGTCTGCTTGTGGGAGCTTGGACAGTGAGTTTTGAAGGTTGGTGAGCTTGGACTTCATAATCCGAAGCCCTTCTGTGAATCGGATCTCCTGTCCTTTAAGAAACTTCTCCATTTGACGCAGTATCCCCATCACTCGGTGCTTATCCATACAACCCTGAGGCAAAAGTAAGCAACCATCCCAGCACCTGGTTACAATTTGTTGGCAAGCAGTTATCCCTAAATTACAGATTCGCTCAAACACAAGCTCATATATGGAGGAGATATTGGACATCCAAAACGATCGCAAGGAACATTCCCACTAAACGTTAGCTTAAATGGCACACATGAATGATCAAGGCCAGATGTTGTGGGTAATGTCATGCATTAAGGCACAGGGACTCCTGTGGGGCATGACATGAAAGCTCAGGCCAGTGTTTAGCAGCTCATCGGCGTGCCAGCACACAACCCAGTTCCCTTAGAAACACAAATATTACTCCAGCAACAATTTATCAGAAGCGATGTTGTCCCAGATGCATTTGGACCGTGCATTCGGTCAGTGGGCAACCTCTAGATCCTCTCCAGGAACCACATGTAAGAGTCTAATACTCGCTTTTTCTCTTCAGCTGCTTGATGGAAGCTCTACAGAAAGCTGTTAGGCAGATGTCTCTACGACCTCTGTCCAAAACGCTGGTCTCCTGTATGTTATTCATGGCAGTTGAATACAGTCTCGTTAGAGGAGAGAGGAAATGTATTGGCCTTAAATTTCACTAAGCGTCTGCCATGGTAAATAAAGGCAGTGCTAATCTGGATAAAATACAAAAATGCATCTGACATATTTAATGATATAACTTACATCGCTGGCTCCAAACACTTTTGGACACTCAAGTCACACTTGAAATGTTTCGATGGCATTGAATTAAATTGCATAAACTTTTATCTATGCAAGTGGAATTGATTGCGAAGACAAAAAATAAAACAAAACTCGAAAATAAATTTGTTTGGTTGAAAAAAAGATAAATTAATAGATATTTTGTGGGGGGGAAAAACTACACCTGTAGTCTCTCTAGGACACTTGTATTAACTTAAGAAGAACTGACTTCATAAATCCACCAAAAATCATCAAATCCCCTATTAACTAAAAATCACTGATGAAGAAAAGTCAGTAAAGACAAACATTCTTGCAGAATTTGAGCACATATGATATTTGTTATTTATTTTATGTAGCCTAATTCCATAATCCAGTACTTCTGGAACAACTGTAAACTCACAAAACAAAATATCATACAATATTTATTCAAATTCTTTTATCTACTGTATGCCAAGTTTGTCAAATGTTTGTAATTGAGACTGCTTTCGATACCTAGAGTTTTGCAATATATAAAATCATATAATGTACTAATATAATTTATTATTTAGCCTACATAATAATTTTATAATTATATGAATATTGTAGTTATTAATTGTTACATAAATATTCATATAATTATAAATATGCGCGTATACTCACCTGCGCTGCATCATTACAGTCGTACAACGATAAGAAATTCAGCAGGAGAAAAACTGTGTATGATAACTTCATCCTCCTATAACTGAGTGAGTCTCTGTAAAAGCGCTGAATTAATTTCTTGTGTCGGTTGTTTTTAATCCTCAAGTGTGTTTACGGTTCCAAGCTGTGCAGTCTAATAGTCGTAGAAACAAGCCTGAGAGGAAATGTTTGACAAACTGTTGCAGAAGTGAGTAAAGATGCTCCTGTTCTCCTCACGAAGACGCGCGAGCGCCTGTGGAGTCGTGATGACTGATTCGCGAGTTGTTCTTTTGGAATGATTCTTTTAAATGATTCAGTCGAATCGATTCGCTAAGCGGGGATTCCTCCGTGAGAGCAGCATTCATTCGTCCATGAAAATGTCACTACTGTGCAGATCTACATATGTACAAGTATGATGAGACATAAAACACATGGTTTGCAACTGAACACATTTGTCTTCTAAATCTTCTAAACAAGTGTTTTAAAAGGTATTGAAGTTGGGAGGAAGATCTAACCACGGTAAACAATGTCAAAGTTTTGTGGTTTGCTGCCACCAGGTGTTTAGGTTGGGTCTTGCACAGTAAACAGTGGCGGTTCTAGCTAATATTGCGCCCTTGGTGCCACCTCTAGATGAAATTAATTTTACATACATTTTGCTATTTTTAATATATTATAATGTAATTATATATATTTGCTATTTGAATAAGAGTGCCCACAAGGGTAGGCTACTTGTGATCTTTCAAGGGTAAATAAAGAACCGGTTGTTTCAATACGTTTTGCATAGTATTTTCTTTACTCTTTACTTCAAAAACTGTCTAAAAGGGGTAATATTTTATGTATTTGAGGTCTGAGATGTGGGAACGGTGAAGAGAGAGAGGGAAAACATTTTGCATTTTAGGTCAGCATTGCCGTCTAATCAGCCAATATTGTCTTAAATAGCCTGCAGAGCACTTCATCTTTTATAACATGGGATTTTGACCAAATATATTGAATCTTGATTTTTGTAAAATGTTGCAACAAGATGTAAATTTTTTTGTGTTTGTGTGTGAAAAATTACAGTTTTTGACATATAAGGTAATAAAAAATATTTTAAAAAATACCTTAAAGTAACTACAAATGAGCACGTAAAGCAAATATCTTTAAAAGAAATTCCATGTGGAGCATTCCCCCGATCTGCACAATGTTCTCACCTTTTTTACCCCTTGTTTGCATCTCTGACCTATACGTCTGAGTGAGCGTGCCGTGCTTATTAAGGTAAAAAAAAAAAACGATTGTTTATTTATTTATTGTTTATTTATATATTTTTCTGGAGCAGGCACCCCGTGCCCCTGTCCCCATGCCTACATATGCCCCTGACAGTAAATACAGACTATTTTAAAGTGACTAAAGAACACTAAGGCCTGGTTTCACAGACAGGGCTTAGATTAAGCCAGGATTAGTCCTTAGTTAAATTAGGGCATTTAAGTAAGGTTTGTTTGTTTTAAATGTGCCTTATAAAAAACAATTCTGGTGTACATTTTGATACAAATCAGTGGCACTGATATATTTTAAGATATGTCAGTGCATGTTGCTTTAAGTAAAGACAGCTCAAACATGCATTTTTTTTTGTCTGGGACTAGGCTTTAAGCCTTGTCTGTGAAACCAAGCATAAAATTGGCAAACATGGATTTGCAGAATAAAGATTAAATTATAGATTGTAATGGATTCTACCTAAATAAGTGAGTTTTATACTGTGCTCATCTATAAGCCACAAAGTTTAGATGAACATATGTACTGCAGTTCAGTTTTTCCCCATTATAATTGAGAACGCTGTTGTCTTCTTAAAATCAGGACAGATACCATGATTCCCAACAGGATGCCAAGAGGTAGTGCATAAGCCCAGTAGAGATGTGATGTGGATGCTGAAAATTCAGGCCCTTCAGAAAAGTTTAAAAACAATAATAAACAGTTTTATTAATGATTTTATCAATATATTACTATTTGAACAAACTTTATATTTCACATTTCCAAAAAAGTGAACAAACTTACTCCACTCTGTCATTTTAGGTTCAGCCAAACTACTGTGTCTCACTTCACATGTGTACTCATCCCCATACTGTGGGGTGATATTCATATACTTGTACACTTTGAAGGTCCAGTCTTCCCCATACATTAAGTCAGAGGTCTCTGCTTTCATAGTGGACTTTTGGCCATTTAGATAAAAGTTTATTTCAATGTCACCAGGGTAAAACCCAGTGGCATAGCAGTAAAGGACATTTACTTTTCCTTGTTCTTCAGGAAATTCAGTATACACATTGACTGAAGGACGTACTGCAGAAAAAAAGAAAGAATTCTTGAAGAAAACTTGAATAGTTGTTAAAGGAGCAGTTTGAAAAAAATTTTAAATCATTTTTTAAATTCATTAAAATAACCTGTGCAGGTTCATGTGTGGGTCTATCAATATATGAAAATTCAGTCGAATTTGTGAACAAATTCTGAGTTTTTTTTTAGATGAATCAATCATTAACATCCAATGGACCCTTTTCACAAGACTGTGATGACGCGTTTAACGGTCTTTCATTCAAACAAGTTTTTCATATTTGTATTTTTTTTTTATATGTATAACACTATTCTTTGTATTATATTATCTTTGCATCAAATTACAAAAAAAAACTAGTTAAATCTAATGCAAGGGTGTTTCTAATGCAGTATCTATGGGAGGGACGGTAAATTTGACATCGTTCTCTCTTCTGACTGCTGTTATCAGTCTCTCTCTTCTTTTTCCTTTTACTGAAAGTCACTATCGTGGAGTTTTTATTTATTTTTTGCTATTTGAGCCAATGGGAATGCAAAAAATATATTTGTGGTACTCTCTCCCATTCACTGCTCTTCAAGTTAACCCAACTATGACGACTTCCGCTTCTGAGAAACCCGGAAATGTGAAAAAGGTCCATTGAAAGTCCCCAATCATTGTAACTGCATGGAAAAGACTGACAAGTTCAATTCTGGAAGTTCCCTCTCATAGGCTCACTTCGATGCTGCGATGACGTCATCGCTTTGGGAACATCTTCAGTGTGACGAATGTCTGAAGCCCTTATACCATCACGCCAATTTATTGGCCAAATAGCGCTTAGCACCGCCCCCAATGCGCACGTAGGTGAGCTATATAGCGTGCTGCGCGCTATTTCCATCAGATTTCATTTCCTTCAGGAAGCGAATCATCTGTCGCCCGTAGGAAAGCGTTATTTTATCGTGTTCTCAGCTAATTTCTTCTAAGAGCAGTTTACTCCTCTTCAGCGGACACGATGAGCTACAGGAGATGCATCGAGCCGTGTGACAGGTTAATCGCAGGAGGAGACACTCATGACAGGTGCGTGCAATGTTTGGGCCTACAACACGCCCAAGCGGCGCTTAGCGGCCTTTCTGATTGTCGACACTGTGATAGCCTACGGCTAAAAGCACTGCGCTCGAGGTTCGCGGCCTTCTCAAATAAAGTAGGCCTCGCGTCTAACCCCCGCTATCCCATTTCTGCGGTTGCAGAGGCGCCGCACGAGACGGTCGCTTGGGGTGACGCATGCGAGCCGAGGCACTTAGAGGGCGAGTCATCGGAGTTCTCTTCTTTTCTCTCGCTCTCTCCAGGCCATGTGCAAGCGCTCGAAGAGTGCTACGGGGACCCCGTGGTCTTCGTCATAGCAGTTCCTGATTCCTCTGCTCGTCTTCGGAGGCCAGGCCCTCCTTTAGAGAGTGTGGACGAACCGCACAAGCGTATTCGCCTCTCTCGCTGTGGCCTCCTGACTCCGATCTTGACGGTCCCGCCGCATATTGTGCCTCGGGCAGTCTTAGGTCGAGTCCTTACAACGAGCACCCTCTCGAATACTCTGCGCGTTCCAGCCTTCAGAGTTAGAAAGAAAGCCCAAAGGTCATGCGAGCATGGCCCGTTTATGACGGCCTCCAAAGCTCCCACCTTTGGGGTGGGGGGCAGGCCCGACAGGACGATCGGACATCTTCCCGTTATAGCTTTTTCCGCCACTCAGGTGCTCCGGGATCCTATACGGGAGAATCAGGTGTATGTTCCAACCGTAGAACACCCAAGACCCCTGGCAGACTATTGGGCCGCGTGGAGACGCCTGCCCGATGTTTCACGATGGGTACTA